AAAAAAAAAATTTCAGTGTGTATTATAAAAAAAATTTAAAAAATAATCTTTGTGTGTTAATAAAATGTTGATGTGTAAAATAAAAAAAATTTTAAAAAAAATATATTTCTTATTTATTTGTTTAAAAAAATTAATGTTCATAAAAAAAATTTAATTTTAATTTTTTTAAACAACAGTGACCTCTGGGTGTTTTTTATGAGACGTTTCTATTATCACCAACGGTGTATCAAAAAGGTATCTATTCGAATCAATGAAGTGGCCCTTAAAAGGGCCGTTGTTGATTTTTTATCAAGGGTTTACTCCCTTAATGGGGTTGCAGGCCAAATCCTCTCCAGGGGTAGGGATTGTACCTACACAAAGGGCATGGTAAACGCCGATCTATGATGCGGGCAGAGCACAGGTAACACGCCGGTCGTTGTCTGCATTGATCGCAAATATAGTTACTGTCCTCATCCTCACAGAGACACAGCGAGCAAAAAATTGATGATACCGGTACCTGTAATCCCCAGCTAGGGATACAGCCTTGAAATCTGGCCTGGCTCTGCTGATACTGGGCCTCATCCACCGTTGAGGGAATCCCAGGGGATGGTGATGGTGAATCGGGGGAATCAGGTATTGAAAAATTCCTCCCTTCCTCCTGGGGCCTAGGATGGTAAATGGGTGGAATTACAGGCCCTCCTGGCGGTGGTGGTGGTGGTGGTGAGGGTGGCCTTGGTGGTGGTGAGGGTGGCCTTGCTGGTGAGGGTGATCTTGTCCTCCTACGCTGGCGGCCAGGTATCTGGTAGGGTCTGGCTGATCTTCTTCTTGCATGTCTATTATTGCTTAGTTCCACTCGCATCATCGGGCAGCGTAATAACTCTTCCCCGTCTGATATCCTCCTAACCGCAAAATAACAAACCAATTCTATCCCTGGAATTAGAAAGACCTCCTCATGGAAACTTTCTTCAGTCATCGTGAAGGTGGCTGGAAATCAGCTTGTACGAATGACAGTTAACAGCTGACGAGCGTTGGTATTTATAGACACAGCGCGACCCGAAAAGAAAGCACCCAAAACCCCGGATGAAACAGAGCTCAAAAAATCATGGAGAATTCAAATTTGTGTTATTTTGTGTTTGTGAATATCTCTATTGGATTAAATAACATATTATGGAATGATATATAGTTTCAAACCTTCTAGTGAAAGAATGAAGGTAAGTTTTGAGGATGATTTCAGAGTATTATTCATACATGACATTCCTCCGTTGTTTAGAACAGGCTCATTCATGCCGAAGCGAAGGCCTAACCTTGAGTGACCTGAATACCTAAAATAAAGAGTTTTAAACTTTTAAAAGTGTGACACCAAGAAAACTTAATGTCTATCATAAGATCGAACCTAAGGAAAAGTGTTGAGAGGGTTTTTAAATCAAAAGAATCCTTACAAGTGTAGAAATAAAGTTAGCGTCGGTCTAAACATAAACACAAGGGAGGTCAAAGGTCAGCCATTTTCAGAAAATCAGTGTCTAGACTTGTATAGAGCTTATACGATTCTTTTCAATCCTGATCTTTGATGATGAAAATTTTGACATGAATACAATCGGAAACTTATAAAAACAATTGGTATCTAGTTTATTTCCAATGGAAATGTCTAGATTTTTATAAAATGACCAAAACAAAAAAACATCTCAGCGTCTAAAAAAGGACACAAGATGGCGTCCTATTTGTATAGAAATAATAACAAAAAAAAGAACTGATTGTTTTTTTCATTCTTTTTTTTATTTTTTTAGTTTTAACAATTGTTCCAAGTGTTGAATTCTCCTATGAAATCTTAATCGATCCGCTACTACAGTCATCCATTCACTTTTCCGATCTTCGGGGGGTAAATCATGAATTTCATTCAAGTCTGTATTAAACGTCACACATTTTTTAGTAGGTCTGATATTTCCAGAGATTTCATTCCGTATTGAATACAGATTTTCTCCATCGTTTCTATTTCTTTCCAAAGTAGAATCACTTTGCTCCCTTGGGGATGACATAGAAAACTGTAGGGTTTTTGTAAATATTGCATCATGTTCATCCCGTACATTTTTTCGGGTAAAGTCTTTTTCATTCGTTGACATAGGAAATGAATAATTGCTAATCTCCCCACTGTGGTAGGATGGGATAAAGCCAGGCATTGTAACCACAAGTCCTGAGTGGTTTCTATGATGTTGTCTGCTTTCTGAAACACTTGTTCCGCTTCGGGGGGTAATGGTTGTTCCTGTTGTTCTAGACATTGCATTAAAGTATCATAACTTTTCAACACTAAAGTGTGATAGTGTCTCAACATGATATCAATGATTTTTTAAAAAGAAATGTTTTTTATGACCTTATTTATACCTTTTGGTTTTCTATTTATAGAAATAAAACCAATCAAGGTAAAAATAGGACTTAAGTTTTCTTTTGCACACGGTAGTATAATACACAGGTGTGTTTTAAGACTCTTGAATCGGTGCCAAGATTAGGTACATGACCCCTCTCTGCAGGTGTTTTAAGAATCAGATCTCGTGCTTAATATATATAATTATAGTAACAAAAAGGTAAAAATAGTTTTTTCAAACTTGAATCGGTGCCAAAATTTTACCTGTGCAGGTGTTTTAAGAATCGGATCTCGTGCTATTATAATTATAGTAACAAAAAGCTAAAAATAGTTTTTCATAAGGTATATAAACTCAGAGTTCAGTCAGTTATAGCATTAGTTTTGACACATGTAGAAAGAATAGACATGGCAGAAGCAATGATGAATCTTAATAATCTTACAGGTCAGAATTATATTCCACCTCAGAGTACAGGACTAGGATATGCCTTACCCACGGCACCTGATACACAAGATCCCATCGGATTGGATTTAGGACTTTATAATATGCCAGAACCCATGACCAAAGAAGATATGAGCATCTTAACCACCACTATGGATGGAATTATTAAAATGCTGACGGATTTAAAAGAGTATAACACCAGTGAATTTTGTTTGATAAGGGGTAAATTATCCAGATTAGAAGTTAAAGTGACTAACATCCAGGAGAAAATGAATGGTGGATTTTATCAGAAAAAACAGAGTAGCAGTAGTAGCAGCAGGAGCAGCAGCAGCAGCAGCACAGGAAAAAAGACAAAAGAAACAGATCCATGTTACATTTGTAATGAGTTGGGACATTGGGCTCCAGACTGTCCCAGAAAAAAACAGGATTTGTGTTACAAATGTGGAAGAATGGGACATTGGGTTAATGAATGCCCAGAAGATGATCAACAATTAGTGAAAGAAGTACAAAAATTAGAGAAAAATCAAGAGAAGAAAAAACACCAGGAACATCAAATTCCTACCAAAGGCACTAACAAAAGGAAACTTGAGAATACCAATGTAAAGGAGAAACTAAAATTGAAACTCCAAAAAAATAATTGACAGTTTTGTTGTGAATAATGGATGTGAAACAGTAAGTTTTCATATTTTTTTGTGAACCTTGTGATATTCCTGTTAGGACTGTTTCTCTGATGTTTTTTTCTTGTTTTTGTGTGATAATGACGTCATAATGGACATACTTGAATCGATGCCAAGACTGTGTAGGTTGTGCGTATTAGTGAGTAACCAAAAAAATCCTTTTGTACAGTGATAAAAAAATTTGTGATTTTCCTGTATAGGACTGTTCTCTGATCTTGTTTTCATATTGTATTGTATTGGATTGTATTGTATTGTATTGGATTGGATTGGATCAATAATAAAAGGTTTGAAATTTTTTGTGGATTTTTGTATTTTTTTTAAGAAAAAAGGTAAAAAAAAGTGCACTTAATTGACCCGGCCAGCGCATTTTGGATTTTTTGATACGGTATCCTGTATAGACTTTCTTATTTTGACTTTTTTTTACAGGCTATAACGGCCCCTATACGCCTGGATAGCCCCGGCCAGCGCATTTTGCATTTTTGCCATTTTTTCCATTTTTTTACCGGCTATAAAGGCCCCTATACTCCAGGATAGCCCCGGCTATCCTGGAGTAATCTACTACTGCTATATATTTACATAACTGGTAGGACATTGATATACTTTCTCTAAAATAGATGAAAAAAATTTAGATAAGCTTTTCTGAAAAAAAAAAAAACACATCCTATTAAGGAAGAGAAGCTCAGGGGCCATATCGCTGATCTAAGCAATAGCCAACTGAGTATACTTTGGCCAAATTGGCTTTACAAAATTAAATACAATACAAATTTAAAAAAAAAAACTAAAATGTATAAATAATTTTTTCATACCTCTTAATACTAATCAAATAACTGTAAAAAAGGCCATCATACGTGAGGGGATAAACATTTTTTTCATACTTCTAAATACTTATCAAATAACTATAAAAAGACTAGGGCTGGGACGATACAACTTTTTCTATATCGATATGTATCACGATATTTGAGCCACAATACGATATGTATCACGATATATTGAATTGGTTATAAAATGTCTTTTTTATATTCAAATAATTTAATTCTGGTTGTAACGCTGTATTTGATTGGATAAAAAAATTACTTTATATCGTGTAAATGGGTTGCCTACGTCACAATGACTTGCGTCAAAAACGTATCGATCCGCCTGACGTTACATTCAAATTTTATACAAATTGAAGTCATTTTTTAAGGACAATCATCTTTTTTTCTTACACCAAATGAATGAAAATTAAATTATAAGGAATGAAATTAACAGCTACCCAATTTATACGGTATAAACTGGGTTGGAACAGTTTACGCTTTTTTATAAACCGCTTCGCGGTTTATAAAGCGTAAACTGCCCCAACCCAATTTATACCGTATAAAATGGGTAGCTATTAAATTCATTCCTTAAATAAACAAAACATTTCTTCACAAATAAGAATAATTTATTCAAAGCAATTGTATACCTGTTGTAAAAGAAAATAATTTTACACAAGTCATGTTAATTATTATGTATTTCATATTGAGCATATTCATATTATATATTTAACCCAAAATATTAATATTTTTTGTAGGGCCCCACCACGGCAGCAGGGAGCTTGTTTGCACTTTGTCAGAGTGCCGGCGTGCTGGGGACGGCTGTTGGCACGAAGGCTATCATAGGTGGCGCTGCAGGAACTTTGGGTGGCGCTGTTGCTGCCATCTGGAAATAAAGTCGTGGACTTTTTATCTTACCTAGTTGGCTACTAAATATGACTGAGGAAAATATCCAATTAAAAATAAAATCATGGAATACTCCATGTTTATTTAATATTCGTAAATATCACTGATAACTCCTTTTGATAAATAACAAAATTTGTAATGACACAATTCTTAGTTTTTCGATAGTGTAAAATAAATTACTGCATGGAATTTTTAGGTTTCTAAAAAGTGGAAAAATAAACTGCTGCATGGAATTTAAATGTTCGTCTTTATCAAATTGTATGATAATCTTTATTGTCTTTCTTGTATTTTTGAAATATATTAATCTTACAAATGACATATTGCATCAGTATTCTAAGCAGATATTTTGTTGAATAACTTCAACAAAGCATAACAATGTTATTTCTAAAGAAAAAAAATGTCAAGATATTCAACCCGGCTTAATATATGGACTTCCTCAATCCCAAGATTTTTTACGACTGTGTGATTCCTGCATAGACGTACATGTATTAGTGTTTAAAGTGCATCAACTGATGTAGATATACCATGGCTTTTATCTTAAAGATCTTGGTTAAAATTGCATGGTTACAATTGTCATTACATTCACACGTCACTTGTATGAACAGAGGAAATTCAGAATGCAATCCGTACATTCATCATGCAAATTTTTGTGTTAAACATTTCAGAATTCTCTGCTACCATGATTCCATGCGATAATGGTGAATATAACAGGCCCTCAGTTAGCATTAAGATTTAGTTCTTGTAGAAAACTTAAAAGAAACACAAGTATAGCTTTTTCAAAAAGCTTTGCAGTCTTTAGCAACAACTTTAAACTGTAAAAAGACATACACATTATCAGGTCGTATTACTTTTGAGTACCGAGGTTCTTGGCTTTGAACTTCTTCGACAGCTTTTAACACTCTACCATCGGCTCATATACATTGACCTCTGTCGTTGGTTCACGTATACTACAGTGATAATGAAATATATGGAGATAACGAACAGAATTCAAGCTCAAAAGTCCATTAAACAATACAAAATAGGAGCAGAGCAAACACGGACCTCCAAAACATCAGAGGTGGGATCAGGTGCCATGGAGGAGTGAGCATCCCCTGCCGACCGGTCACACCCGCCGTGTGCTCCTTGTCATGATCAGGAAGTAACGGAAAAATCCGTCGACAATTCAGTGTGTAAATAATGGCCTAACAATTAGTATGAAAAACGTCAGTCAGCATTTGACTTAATGATAAATTGTATTTGCTGACAAGGTCATTGTATCGACCATAGAACTTACGAAATGATGACTTTAAACGAGATAGCTGATATTCTTGTTTCATCAACTTGTTTGTCAATAATTTACCTCGTTTTAGAAATTGTCCATACGTAGAGCATGCTCTTGCGTATCGAATCAACTGGGAGATATAAACCCCGTATGCAGGTGATGAAGGTATGTTGCTGCATAAATAAGGGAAGTTGACGATTGAAAAGTTAAGGTCATCACGTTTATCATAAATCTTGGTTGTTAGATTACCATTAACGTCTTTTTCAAGTAAAATATCCAAATATGAAACAGATGAGTCAGACTCTGTGGTATCTTTTATCTCAAGCTCACTGGGATATATCGTATCGACATAAGAATGGAAATAACCATTGTTAATTGACAATACGTCGTCGATATATCTAAATGTCGAGTTGAAGGCCACAGCAAGTGTTTTCTTCTTTTCATGTATAAGATTTTGGACAAATTCTGCTTCATATGAATACAAAAAAAGGTCTGCTAATAACGGGGCGCAATTGGTACCCATGGGAATTCCAATAGATTGTTGGAAGACCTGGTCTCCAAAAACCACATAGATATTGCCAATCAGAAACTCAAGCATCTTTTTAATGTCAACTTCAGAGTACTTGTGTGTACAATCAGAATGTTTTTTAACAAAATAATTTTGCAAATGACCAATGACAAGGTAAGTAAATTTACGAGTTCCATTTTTATTGAAAAAGCAGCTGTCAGTGATATCAAAAAGCCTGGACTTTAATTTATCGTGGGGAATGGTTGTGTATAAAGTTGAAAAGTCGTAAGTTTTTACGCTGTTGATTTTGGTAAAATCTTGTGATTTCAAATTTCCCAAAAGTTCCTTGGTACGAGAATATTAGTACGTTCTTTTATTCATTTCATTATAATTAAATGCTTGCGCTAATGTTTGCTAATATTTACTGAGTAGATCTAGAAGTATTACTTTAATTTGAAATAATAATTGGAATTTCATGATTTCAGGCCTGTAGCAACGGTTTCAAATGTGTGTGTGTGTTGGGGGGGGGGGGGTGGCGGGAGGGCAACTTCCCACAAAATAATCTTACAAGCTAAAAAAATTTATTAAACCTTATTAACTGTTCAGATCCTGGAATTTGCCAGTGCTCGACCTAACTGTAACAAAAAGTGGCCGGAAGGGGGGGGGGGGTATCTAAAGGAAAATTTACTATATCACAATACTATGCTCGGAAAAAAAGGGCCAGTCGCTAGTCGCTCCGGGCCGGTTTTTACTAAATGTCAAAAACCTTGACGCGAGCCCGTTGCAGAGGTGTCTGAGAGAGGAACGAACGATATTCTGCGTAGAAGATCTAGATATTAGTCCTACCAAATAAACGAAGGGAAAACGAATAAACACACATTTCAGTGTTTGCATGCAGAAAAAGAGCTTTCTGTTCATCATGAAAGTAAAGACAACCTTTATTTTAATTGCTATAAAAAAAAAATTGAAGTCTATAAGTTTCATTTACTGCAATTTTCCTTTGTTCGTTTTGTCGATTTTTTAAGATTGAAAATTTGAAATCAGATCACCAGAAAATTATCTCCCTTGTCTAGCAGAGCATTTAAACCAATGAAATAATTGAAAATTTTCACATCGTGCATTTTCTGCCAATCACAGAAGAGAGGAAGTGCATAGTCCGAAGACTGTAAAATACTTCGTAAACATTAGCAATAACAGAGCCCATGCCCTGTTTACAAAAACAGTTTACGTTTCACGGGTGTGTTCAATTGTTAAACTTTCCACGCATCACTGAGCACGGACTGTCAATACTGGAGAGTTGGTTTTGGTTTCTCTACTCTGAATTTTCTGGATTATAGTTTTAATATTTTTTCATTAATACACAACAAAATTTCTACTTTTTCTTAAGTGTTATACTTTTTGAAAGTGCAAGGATGTGTCAATCAAACGCGTCCCGAAATTCGTAGTTTCAAAATAAGTTTTATTAATATATTTCCGTGTGAAATGCTATAGTAACATAGAAGTCATGATTTGAGAAAATATTAACTTCAAATCTGTGTCAAGGCCCCTCTAATTTCTGAATGGTTATGCAAGGACTTTCAAATTTCACAGATATATTCCTTGTGATAAGTTCTTTTCTGGGTACCAACATTTTTTGGAGTTTGACTTGCAATTGAGAAACTTTAATGAATTATATGGAGATAACGAACAGTATTCAAGCTCATAAGTTCATTTAACAATACAAAATAGGAGCAGAGCAAACATGGACCTCCAAACATCAGAGGTGGGATCAGGTGCCATGGAGGAGTGAGCATCCCCTGCCGACCGGTCACACCCGCCGTGTGCTCCTTGTCATGATCAGGAAATAACGGAAAAATCCGTCGACAATTCAGTGTGTAAATAATGGCCTAACAATTAGTATGAAAAACGTCAGTCAGCATTTGACTCAATGATAAACTGTATTTGCTGACAAGGTCATTGTATCGACCATAGAAATGATGACTTTAAACGAGACAGCTGATATTCTTGTTTCATCAACTTGTTTGTCAATAATTTACCTCGTTTTAGAAATTGTCCATACGTAGAGCATGCTCTTGCGTATCGAATCAACTGGGAGATATATACCCCGTATGCAGGTGAAGAAGGTGTATTGCTGCATAAGTAAGGGAAGTTGACGATTGAAAAGTTAAAGTCATCACGTTTATCATAAATCTTGGTTGTTAGATTACCATTAACGTCTTTTTCAAGTAAAATATCCAAATATGAAACAGATGTGTCAGACTCTGTGGTATCTTTTATCTCAAGCTCCCCGGGATGGAAGAATGGATCGAAATAGCCATTGTTAATTGACAATACGTCGTCGATATATCTAAATGTCGAGTTGAAGGCCACAGCAAGTGTTTTCTTCTTTTCACATACACGATTTTGGACAAATTCTGCTTCATATGAATACAAAAAAAGGTCTGCTAATAACGGGGCGCAATTGGTACCCATGGGAATTCCAATAGATTGTTGGAAGACCTGGCCCCAGGATCATGAAACAAACTTAGACTTAAGTCAAATTTTCAATTGTCTGTAAAATGTTTCGTAATTGTCAACTTTATCTCTAAATTTGCAGATAGCAACACTTTCATAAAGCTATATTGAAAAATATTTTAATTTTGGTCTGCTTGACTTCTATAACATTTTAGAACAACATGAAGATTTTGACTTAAGCTTAAGATGTTTCATGACCCTGGGGCCTGGTCTCCAAAAACCACATAGATCTTGTCAATCAGAAACTCAAGCATCTTTTTAATGTCAACTTCAGAGTACTTGTGTGTACAATCAGAATGTTTTTTAACAAAATAATTTTGCAAATGACCAATGACAAGGTAAGTTAATTGCCTGAGTTACGAGTTCCATTTTTATTGAAAAAGCAGCTGTCAATGATATCAAAAAGCCTGGACTTTAATTTATCGTGGGAATCCTTGTGTATAAAGTTGAAAAGTCGTAAGTTTTTAAGCTATTGATTTTGGTAAAATCTTGTGATTTCAAATTTTCCAAAAGTTCCTTGGAATTTTTAAGTATCCACATCTGATTTATACCACTTCTCGAATATATTGTTGCACAGTACTCATGAAGTTTCTCCTTCACTACTGTTAATATCTTAGTGAGGAGTAAAGAAAGAGGCTTGGTTGAACATTTACTGGAACCCGCTATGTATCTTTGTTTGTAAGGATTTTTATGAAGTTTCGGAATCCAATATAAATATGGTATTTCAAATTTAACCTTCTCAATGAGCTGCCGTACGAAGACATCCGTGTTTCACAAGCACATCTTGTTTAAATCTACTTAAATTTCTGCATATGCGGAAATATATGCAATATCCATTAAAACAAGATGAGTTTATTTTTTGGAGAACTTTTGTTGTTACCACGAGAATGTAGTTAGCAGCGAGATGCACTTGCGTTGTATTGATGGTCTCGAGTTAACTGCGGCAAAAAAAAATCATTCGGACCAGTATGTACAGTCCGAATTTTTTTCTCTTCGCCCAGGCGTTGTCGTAGGAGCTCGCAGTACGAGCGGT